AAGAAAAAAATAAGTAAGAAAAATTTATGACGAAAATTAAAAGGGGTCAAATTGACCCCCTCCGCGGTTCTAGTGTCACATGAAGACTGCCATAGAGATAATTTCAGGTTCGTCCTTTTGTGAAAGTGCAGACCTGTTACTGTACAAACAAATGATTCTCCAGCTTCAAGAGTATATTTCAAATACCAATGAGAAAAGCAAGAAAATAATGGCACTTACTGTTTTACCGAAATCCATGAGTATTTCCAACATCAGAGGAACATTTAATGTCTCCAACCATCCAGCTCGAAAAGCTCGAGCTCTTGCAGAGACAAATGGAATTTTTTCAGAGCCGGGAAATAAAATAGGACATATTCTGTCTCCAGAGACAGCCCAACTAGTCAAAGTGTTCTACATGAGGGATGAAATTAGCCGTCCGCTTCCTGGCAGAAAAGATGTTGTCCACATAACAATTCGTCATGAAGATGGGAGAAGAGAGAAGGTTGAAGAAAGAAAGCGACTTGTTCTGGGGACTCTTGGGAGTCTTCATAAAAAATTCACTGAAGAGCATCCTGACAACAAGATATCTCTTGGTAAATTCTGTGAATTAAGACCCAAACAGTGTGTGTTGGCTGGTCGTGCAGGCACCCATGTGGTTTGTGTCTGCACTTATCATGAGAACCCCAACCTTATGTTTGAACATGGCCACCTGAAGTGTGATTCTTTGGAAGCTGTGCGGGATTGCAGAGCGCTCTTGTTGTGTGAAAATCCCACAAGGGAGTGCTTTCTTCGTACCTGCTCTCAATGTCCAGATTCCCTGAAGCTACAAGAAATCTTGGAAGTCCATCTAGATTCTGAATTTGTGGAAAATGTAACTTACAATCAATGGGAGTCTACTGACAGAAGTAATCTCATCACCCTTACTAAGAAAGTAGAGGATTTCATTGAAGATTTTGTGGACCAAATTAATACTCTCATACCTCATGATTACATTTACAAGGAGCAGGTGGATTTTATAAAGAAGAAAATAGAAAATCTGGCTGAAGGAGAGGTCCTTGTTCAGGGCGACTTTGGAGAAAATTTCTCATTCGTTATTCAAAGAGCTTCTCAAAGTTCTTATTTTGATACACCTCAAGCAACGATACACCCATTTGTAATTTATTACAAAGAAGATGGACAGCTGAAGCATCACTGTTTTGTCATCATCTCTGACCACATGATCCATAATACTGCTGCAGTCCATGTGTTTCAAAGAAAATTAATTAACCATATGACCAATGATTTAAATCTGAAGTTAACCTAAATCTATTATGTATCAGACGGTTGCGCTGCTCAATACAAAAACAAGAAAGCAGCGGCCAACCTTTTCTTCCACAAGCTGGATTTTGGAATGGTGGCAGAGTGGCACTTCACAGCAAGTGCTCATGGAAAATCAGCCTGTGATGGTGCCACGGGAAGGATTAAGAGTCTTGTCTACCAGCACTGCCTTCGAGTAATTGCAGCTGGAGAACAAATCACCACCCCACACGCAATGTATCTTTGGGTCAAAGAGAACATTAAGGGGATGACGTTTCATTACGTCTCCTCCGAAGAGGTGGCAGCAAATGAGACTAAACTAATGGTAAGATAGTACTATTTTTAAATCAATGGTATTTTACGTAATTAAAAATAATAATCAAAACATTTTTTTTCTCTTAGGTTCGCTTTGCTACTGCTCTTGATATAGATGGCATCCAGTCACATCACGCCCTCATTCCATGTGAAGATGCGCCATACATCATGATGAAGGTTGTATCCAATGACACAGCGTTCACCTTAAGAAAAATTTCCACCAAAGAATGTAAACTACATTTCAATGATGTACGAGGCTTCATCTTGTACAGTGAAAATAGTTCTGATATCAAGCTGGGCTCTGTTTGTGACCATGACATACTCAATGACAGTTTTACTGTCCAAATTTTGTCTCCCACCAGGGGCGGACTGGGACCCAAACGGCCCGAGCGGGAAATTCATCGGACGGCCCCTACCCACAAGCGCCCCCCCCCCTCCCCGGCCGGTCTTCCCCATGTTTTCATGCCAAAGCAGTGTTCTGCTGAGAGGTGGTTTGGATGTGCCCCTTATTTTGGTATACATTATATAAATATGTATTTTAAGGGCATAAAGAGAGAGATCACACATTACAATGGTACATATTGCATATTAACCCACCCTCGCTCAGCACAGTATAATAGAGGTCCGAAAATGCAAAAAAAAAAAAAAAGAATTTTCTGTGCTTAAACTACTTTTTCTCAGATGTAACGATAAAAAATGAAGTTTCACGAAATGTGAGGTAAAGGGGGCAGCTTAAACCTTACCAAAGTTACAAAACACGGCCTTTTTTTCGGACTAGTTCGAGTTAATTTCCTTCAAATATGGATTTGGGCGGCCCAACTCTTTTCGGCACAGTTTAGAGTATTCTGTACAAAATGAGACCTCTCCGGGCCGACCTGTTTACGGTGGGGAAAAGAAAGATATGTGCCTTCAAAGATAAAAAGACAACAAAAACGGTACAGCATGTTTTTTTTTCGACTAAATTCAATTAGGAAGTTGAATTTTTGATTTGTTGAAATTGTTTTGCCGTTTTTCGATCCATTAGCACTATATCATCAGTTCCAGGTCGGACAACGGCTCAAAACGAAAGTTTTGAAAAGAATTTTACAATATTCAAAGTTTGCCGAAAACATAGGCCTACTGAAACTATTCGAATGAAAAGTCGTCTTTTGATCTTGTCTACATTTCCTCCGTTCTGCAGGTCGGAGAGGTCTCTTTTTGTAGAGAATACTCCAAACAAAAGTGTCGATAAGAGCTTCACTGAGAATGAATGGGTCACCACCATCACCCTTTACATGGGTGATGCAACTTCGTTGCTCAATTTTGAGTGACGAAAAATTCATCACCCGAAATTTGGTAACAGGCGTTTGGTCGCCCAAATTTGGGTAACGCCGTCGACGACGCCGTGAGGTCCGCGATAGACGTCCCCGGGGCACCACGTTGACCAGAGGCCTCAACGCCACATTGGGGCATCGTGGTGGCCCCGGAAGAGCGTCGTCGGGGACCTCAGCGCGTCGCCGACGACGTTACCCAAATTTGGGCGACGATTTTATGACTGCCCAAAATTTGGTCACCGTGGCCTCGTCACCCAAGGGCTACGATGCGTGCATTACCCAATGAAAGGGCGATGGTGGTGACTCTTTCATTCTCAGTGTTGGCTGCCCAAAATCATAATTGCTGGAATTAAACTCTAACAGTCGAAAAAAAACGTGTGTTGTCTGAGGTGGCTGCCCACCTTTACTCCCTTAACCCCAAATCTTCAAAAACTTCATTTTGCATCGTTTTAAATTGATAACAGTGGTTTGAGAACTAAGTCTTTTTTCTCGCACTTTCTCGGCCTGTTTTTGCACTGTGCCGCTGTCTTTACACCCTCCCAAGTGAGGCTGAAGCTAACGGCCGTGGCCCGAGCTGTTGACTAATTCCTCTGAGGAGCGAAAGCCCACTCGGAGAGACCGATGGCCTGTCATAGTGCACAGTGCGGAACCGGAATCACTCTCAGGACACGCAGGCCGAGACGCAGGCAGCCCGCGGCATGCCCTTCTCGTGTCCACGGCCGACCCGACCCTGCAGCCCTGCTTTGGCCCGCGGCGGCCCACGGCGGCCCACGACGGCCCACGGCTTGCGGCCCGCGGCCCTTCCGGGCCTGCGGCCCGGGCGGGAATACTAAACCCGCCCGCCCGGGCCAGTCCGCCCCTGTCTCCCACTGAAAAAAACTACACATATGTTTTTACTGACAAAAATGAGGAGGTGTATTTGCAAGACATTCTTTGTCTTGTAACTCCGTACTTCCAGAAAAATGGCACTGTTGTTAAACTTTTTGCAAAAGAATGGAAGGCAGCTCAGGTAAAATTAGCAGAGATGGCTTGACATGGCTTCAATATTTTGAATCAAAATTGCAATAAAATTTTCATTTCATGTTACAAACTTGTCTGCTTTTATCCCCTCCATCCGACATCCAGTAGACTTGCCAAGCTCCGGCTTAGAGTATACTGCCAGCAGAGGGGGGAAATATGTGTCGATTCGCTTGGAGCGCAGCCCTTGATGGTAATAATAATGGTGGGTAGGCAACCCGCAGGGTCCCAGTGCGGCGCGGCACGATGGGCTGCCTATCTGGAAGGGGCGCTGCACACACTGGAAACGGGATCCGGAGCCAGGGTTCGATCGGGCAGGGCGCCCAGGGTGCCCAGCCCAAACTGGGTGGGCTAAATACCGTTTTACAGTGAAGTAGAGTGTTGCAGAGGTCCACGGAAATGGTTCGTTCTCGAGAACGGCGCAAAACGTATTTTGTGGTTGACTGTTTCGATTAGAGGAGGGTCCAAGCTAAGTTTTAAGCCAACGGGAGCCAAATGTGGTTAAGGTACTTGGAAACTGTGCAAATTTTAAAATTTAGTAAAAGTTTAAAAGTAAAAAAAAATTTTCAAAAAAAATTTTTTTTTCACCAGTAGATTCGATTTTTCTTCCCCTTTCCAAATCTGGTCTCGGATTTGGTCTACGATGCATATTAGCGACGCTATGAACCTTCAAAGTTGCACTGGTGCAGCAATTTGAGAAAAAAGTTTTTTGATATATCTCAGCCCCTGGGGCCACATTCGAAAAACTTTGTACCGGTCATGAACTAGTACCATGGGGGTAACAAACCCTGAAAAGAAGAATCAATTCGGTGACCATGGTGGCAGAGGCCTTGTCGACTTGACGTGGAATGACCCCGCTGTCTTTGCAGTTAACATTGCGAATGTGTTCGGGCGTTTCTTCAGGCGCATCGCTAAGCGTTCACTCTCACTCCAAGTACATGACATCACGTTGAAACGAACGTTACAAAATGTCACGTTCGTTTGAGCATTGTGTCATATTGGTTTGAATGTGAACAAGCTACCAATTTTTGGCCGATTCACATCCAAACAAATGTGACACAATGCTTAAACAAACGCAACATTTTGTCATGTTCGTTTTAACGTGATGTCACGCTCCTGGAATGAGAGTGTTGTAAACACTGTACCTGTTCCCGAGGTCCGTAACGCGTTTGCGTCTTGGAGCTCCCGAGGGGGCTGGAGGGAGAATGCCTTGTCCATGAACATCCCGCGACCCTGCGCGGCCTTGAAGACCTACTTTCCTGGCATATCCAAGTACGTCTGGAACAACCTCGAAGGGCCCGGCGGTCACGTCTCGCAAATCCCGGTGCCACCGGTACGGCCGAAGATCTGACTATGTAACTCGTTGCCACAAACAAATATTCCTGCGATGCACCAATGCCGAAAGGGCTGTCGGACCTCAGCCAGCCCACCAGGCAACTTCTCAACACTCCCAAAACAAACGACTGCTTAGATTAAGAAAAAAGTAACTTTTTGAGGGTTTTTTTTAAGAAAATATTTTTTTCATCCAAACTTTTTTTTTCTGTATGCAGAAAAATGTTCTTGCGTCAAGCTTTTTAAAAAAAAAAAACGAAGAAAATTATCAATTAAGAAATCATTTTTGTGTGTGCACACGGTACAAACGGTACCTGGTTTTCCCAGGAAGCCTGTAGGGGCATTCCACGCCGGTTCATCCGGGACCCCAAATTTCACACCTCGGATTTGGGTTCTGGTGACTTTTTCTTGAAGTAATCATCACTAACAACAAAACCATAAAACAGTTTTTCAAAATTTCAATTTGTATGGGAGATATGGCCAAAAGAAAATTTCAAAATCACACATTTAAAAAAAATAGAAAAATTTTTTTTAGAATTTTTTTGTTTGCTTTTTTAATGGTGTGGTGGTCTAAAATAAAGAATGAAAACCCATCTTGGGTCATACGTCTCACCAGTTGGGTAAAAAAGCTGAAAAACATAAAAAAAGTTACGCGTTTTGGATTTCTCAAAAACTGCGTCTCCAGATTTCAACCAAATTTTTTTCTAAGGAAGGCCTAATGGTGCTCTAGGATGCCTCAAAATATTAGGACTGGCAATGGAAAAGGATCTGAGATAAACGACATTTTGTGTTGCGATACTTCAAAAATCAGGAAATATCGACTCGTAAAATACAGTCAAGTTCATACAAAGCAGTTCTGAGACATCAAAAGTTGTTCAGAATTATGAGGTTTGTTTCCAGATGACATGAGAGTCCATAAGGTACAATAAGAACAGTCTTTTTATCCATTGAAATTTTGTGACACTCTTAAATAAAATTTAGACGACCAAATTGTTATCAATGGGTGATGACATGTCAAGGCATGGGTGAGAAGCAGTTTGTCAGGTGTAAGAGCACACCTAGTCAGGTGTAAGGTATGTAAGATAAAAGGTATGTTTAGAGATTTTAAGGCCTAGTAACTGCTTACAAGCATATCTAGGTGTGCACTTCTGACACACTGTTTCTCACCCATGCCTTGATATGTCATCACCCGTTGATAACAGTTTGGTCGTGTAAATTTTATTTAAGAGTGTCACAAAATTTCTATGGATAAAAAGACTGTTCTTATTGTACCTCATGGACTCCCATGTCGTCTGGAAACAAACCTCATAATTCTGAACAACTTTTGATGTCTCAGAACTGCTTTGTATGAACTTGACTGTATCTTACGAGTCGATATTTCCTGATTTTTGAAGTATCGCAACACAAAATGTCGTTTATCTCAGATCCTTTTCCATTGCCAGTCCTAATATTTTGAGGCATCCTAGAGCACCATTAGGCCTTCCTTAGAAAAAAATTTGGTTGAAATCTGGAGACGCAGTTTTTGAGAAATCCAAAACGCGTAACTTTTTTTATGTTTTTCAGCTTTTTTACCCAACTGGTGAGACGTATGACCCAAGATGGGTTTTCATTCTTTATTTTAGACCACCACACCATTAAAAAAGCAAACAAAAAAATTCTAAAAATTTTTTTTATATTTTTTTTAAATGTGTGATTTTGAAATTTTCTTTTGGCCATATCTCCCATACAAATTGAAATTTTGGAAAACTGTTTTATGGTTTTGTTGTTAGTGATGATTACTTCAAGAAAAAATCACCAGAACCCAAATCCGAGGTGTGAAATTTGGGGTCCCGGATGAACCGGCGTGGAATGCCCCTGTATTAAAGACATAGGTGATTTTCCAGGGGGTTCCTGGGAAAACCAGGAACCGTTTTTACCGTGCAGTGGTGCCAAGATATTGCCTAACTGCGCAGGCTGAGATTGTCTCACAGATTTTGACGCACTACGACTGTTGTTCCTTATCGTTCGCCCCTAAACTTCTCTTTTTCAGGGTTCATACAGCATTCGGAACCTGTCCATGAACTTGCAAGACTACCGTTCCACGGGACTGAGATCTATGTTTTACGGAAAATGGCGCATGGACTCTAAAGTGTACGATAAGGACATGTGCTTCATGTGCGTCCGTGTTACCGCTATGGTCAATCCGAAGGCTCCTTCGCGGGCTAGGAGCGGTGCTAGGAGAACCAGTGCCCCGACGAGGTTCCCGGGTTTGGGTCGCAGAATTGCCAAAACCAAACCGATAATAAAAACACATGAACATAAACAACAATCTAGCAAACACTGTTATTCCGCTTGCGATACAGACCGCACTTTCTGCGCAATACAAATTTCATCGCATTTTGTGATGACATTGCTAAAAGAGGTGATGAGTACAGTACCGCAGAATTTTGCAATGATCATTGCAAAAAACTGCAATGAATCCAGATTTTGTGTTGTCATCATCGCAGTTTTTTGCAATAATTCCGATTTTCTTGCAGAATTTTATGCGATAAGAAGTCATTGCATCTCAGGAGCAAAGATTCGTGGGAATCACATTTCGGATATCATCGCACGTTTTGTGTTGAAAGTATCGCAAGTTGGGTAACAGTGAATTTAAAGAAAAACATTTTCTTTGTGTCCCATTCCCAGTGTATGAGCGCTCAAAATGAAACGCGTGGTCACACGCCGGCAGTTAGTCTCTTCATCGCGTGCCGCTGACAGCGCACTGCTACACTTTTGTCGGCGCGGCATTCGGCTCATCGTTCAAGAGCAGGGGAAAAGAGGAGGGAAAAGGGTTTGGGGAGGCCTGCGCGATTCATCGGAAACAATCGCAACTGGGTCATTCCCCCCCGAATCGACGATGGTCTGTTTTTGAGGTCGATGGGTTCGGTCCAAACCACTTTTAATCGATGCATTGGGGCCCCAAAGGAACCCCTCTAAGAGGATTTTTTTTTTTAAAACATTTTTCCCAAGTTTTGGCCAATACCATTTTGGGGAAAATTTTGTGAAATTTAGTGAAAACAGTGCTTTTCATCTTATCCTATAAAAGTGTGATGTGAGACCCCTTTGGCTTATATTTCCATTTCAACTAGCTTAGAGGGGGCCTGAAAACCTTCTCCTCTGACTGAAGGTGAAAAATCAAAAAATTTCCATTTTTTACTTAAGAAAATTTATGAAAAAAAGTGAAAAAGGGCATAAATTTTTTACGTGGTTTGAGAATTTTGACGATACTTTGTCCTAAGATTCACTTTAGGTGACCGCTTAAAAATACAAAAAATTTCATCTGGCAATACGTATCTTCACTGAATCGGGTTTAAAACT